TGCTCCCCTCTGGCTCCTCCGGGAGCCATCTGTCAGTTTCAAGCAGTCTTTACTGAAGAAAGGTCCCTGTTCTAAAATGCCGATGTGGGGACACACTCCCCTGTGCGCCTGGTCTGCCCCGGCAGTGGGTTCCCTCTCCCCCTCTGGGCTTGGACTGCAGGCCAGAGGTGTTCTGGTGTGGGCGAACTTCCCCGGCTCACCTCTGGCTCCTGAGGGAGCCTTCTGCAGGCAGTCTTTACTGAAGAAATGTCCCTGTTCTAAAATGGCGATGCGGGACACACTCCCTGCATGTCCAGTCTCAGGCACACTCTTCTGCGTGCCTGGTCTGCCCCGGCTTTGGGTACTCGCTCCCCCTGTGGGCTCAGACTACTGGTCGGCAGGGGCCCGGCGTGGGCTAACTCCCCAGCTGGCCACTGGCTCCTCCAGGAGCCTCTGCTGGTTTCGAGTCACTAGGTGGCGCCAGAGATCTCTCCTAGAGCCCTTGGGGAGCTGTTTTTTTTCACCCCGTGGGACAGGAAATAGAGCGGGAATGGTAGGGTAAACCTCAACAGCTTTGGGGTGCTGTGTCTGCCTTGTGCCCCACCATTGTGAAGAACCCACGCCCCGAATTTTGTGCTCCGGATCTCAGTTCCAAAGCCCTCAGGTCCAGGACGCGGGCTGTAGCCCAGTTCAGTGTCCACAGAATGGCGTCTTTTGCACCCCGCTCCCGTGCCTTGGTGCCTGGTTCCCGGATACTCAGTGAGGGACTTTCACCTCAGTGAGGGTCTTCGCGCGCATCTCCCCGCACGCCTAGGTCGCAGGCGCGGGGACCTGGGCAGCCGCGATCCCAATCCAAGTTTGCTTTTCAACTGCGCTGCTTTTCCGCGCTGTCCCGATCCCGATCCGCATTTGCTTTTCCAGCGCACCGCTTTTCCGCGCAAGCTTACCGGGGCAGCCTGGGGCTGTGTGCTGGTCCTGGCCTCCTCCTGGGTGGGGGGGGTCTCTGTTTAATGGCACCCGAAGCTCACCTCCGCGCAAATCCTGCAGGGTTCTCCGCAGCTCCCGTTCCCGGGGTGTGGTGGCTGCAATAGTTCCTTTCCACTCCCAGTCCCGCTTGCTGCGTAGTTTGTTCTTGTTGGTCGTTTTGGTTTGTTGTTTTCCTCCTCTCTGCGGGTCGGAGAGTGCCGCCTCTGTGGGTGGGGGAGGGGAGCAGGGTTCTGCGCTTCCCTCCCTTCTAGTCCTCTTTTATGGCCACTTTCTTCTTCGGGTAGTTTGCTGGAGTCACCCGTTTATCTTCCGTGTCCCAGTTCTCACTGGGACCTGCCGCTTTTCCTCCCTATTAACTTTTTTTAATGGGAGATCTTACTCGCAGCGTCTCCTCGCCGCCATGTTGCTCCGCCCTCCCGGTAATCCTTTTTTTTTACTCAAATGTCGTAAAGTAATCCATTAAAATACACTTTATATTGTTTCAATTCATTATAATTATTACTCCTATTGATTGTCAGAATTGTACCAGTGAGGACCAGTCACCAACTTTTTGAAATTAACCCCACATTTCTGAAATTTCCACTGTGTAACAGAAGATTCTGGGCTTACCTTGTCTATGTCCTGCCCCTTTACTACTGTCATGCAGAGCTTGATCATTGGCCTGTGTTCTGAGAATTGTGTCATTAGGTAATTTCCTTCTGACGACATCGCCTACACCACACCTAGGTGGACAACCCACAGGGACCACCCTGGTATGTGTGGTGTGTCACTGGCTGAAACATTGAATAACACATGACTAAAAGGTGTTTTGAGGTCACAGTCTGGACTGCTCATTGCTACTGGGCTGATTATTGTGTAGTTCTTCCAATTCCTATGGAGGATTGTATGGCTTTTGCCATACTTAGGGTAAAAAAGAGTAAAAGGATACTTGTGCGCCTACAACACTATAACCTTCCTTGAAAGACTCTTCATTCTTGCCTTCCAGCCCACGGTGCTCTGGTTTTCTCGGATCCCATTGCTTGTTCTGATTCCTTTTGTGAAAATAACTCTTTCCAAAGTGAAGTAACACAGAGTCCAATCCTTGGACAACCTCCTGATGATGTGTTGTCAAGAGTTTGAAATAATCATTTCCAAATAAGATAGATATGCCAGCAAGTCCCAAACACTTGTCTTCCACCTAGACATGTGCTTAACACCAAACCCCTGGCTTTGCTATCTCCACTTTGAAGTCCAGAAAGCTCTTCAAAGTGAACACATCAGCAAAGAAGAGATTGTCTCCCCATGCATGCTGTCCCTTAAGTTTTCCATTAAGAACCGCTCTTCCTGCACTCTGGTTCCTGTATATTACACTAATTATGCAGCTTCGTGGACTTTTTTTAAAAATGTGATGCACATGATGGCTTCCCAGCACGCTTAGAATGAAATCCAAAATCTTGAGTAAAACCTAAGATATTTGCTGTACCATGTGAACAGGACAGCATTTCTGCCCTTCATGATGCCAGCTGACATTTACTCTAGAATCCAGGGGTAATTGTGCTGGCATAAAACTTGTTAAACCATCTGAACTTTGAGCATACTTGTCCTTGCAAAAAAAAAAACAAACATTTTCACGTGTATTATGATTTACTGTTTTGATTAGCTGTTAATTGCCCTTTGTGTGGTCTGTCCATCCTCCAGCAGAAGGGGTGAAATGCAGCCATTTGCAACTAAATGGAGGCAGTTCAAGAGAATGTGCAGTAAAGCAAGTCAGAAGGACAAAAACACATGCTGTGTGTTTACATAGCAGACAGTTCTATAATGTGAAATGATTTCCAAAATCAGTGGGCTCAGTAAACATCCTGAGGGCTCTACAGTTTAAGAGGGGGAGGAAAGAGAATAAGGGGGTGTATGGGCTAATGGTGGGGAAAATTTTTTTAAATAAATGGGAGACTCCCTCTCTTTGGGGGAAAAAAAAAAACATTTAAGTTTCGCAACAACCCCATGAGATAGATACAGTTTTTACCCACAGGTTGCAGGGGAGGACACTGAGACACAAGAGACAAATAGTAGAGCCACAAAATGAAGGAAAAAAAAAAGTGGTGGTGGTTATTTAAAGATACCTTAGATGACCAAACTCCTTTTTGTTTTTATTGAATGAAGAGAAAAAATGTGGGAGAATCAGAAGTGAGATATCCCGTTCTAGTTGATGACAATACTAGAAGGCTAGCTGATATTTAGCGAGTACTTAGCATGCAAGTGACTGAGCCAGAATTCAAACTTCAGGACTATCTGGCTTCAAAGTCCGTATGTAAAACCACTATACTGTTCTAACCACTATACTGTTCTAACCGCTAAGATAAAAAAAAAAATCACACAATTTTGTCTTTGAATCATAATAATAGCTAAACAGTTGTAGAGTCAAACAGTGACTGAGACAGAGAAAGACTGTAAGACAGAAACTAAAGGGGAAGTTAAACAGTGATTTCTATGATACACCAAAGCTGTGAAAAACTCTGGTAAGAATCTGATTCAAAATAAGATTGACACTAGAAAAGGTATATTAATTAAATATGGAGAAAACTGCTTGTCACTCACTTTTTTTTTTTTTTGCTTCCCATAATAAATTTTGTTTGTTTATTGAGGTCATTCATTTCTAACCTTACATAAACTTCAAATGTACAACTTTCTGTTTCAACACCTGTATAAATCATGTTATAATTATCATCAAAGGTCTGGCTTATGACAATGATAAGTTTTAAAGACCCACACATACATAGAATTAAGAGAGGGTTCTGGTATTTTGTAAAGATATAATTTGACAACCTCTTCTAAGAAGCATTGACAGGTTTGCATTTATTTTTTTTAATTTTTTTATTTAAATTTTATATTCCCCATACAATTACAACCCCCTTATTTTGACCCCAATCCCTCCTTTCCCCGCTCCCCACCCCCCATAGAGTGTCACTCACTTTTTTATTTTGTTTTTTCATCGAGGGTGACTAACTTTTTAGAGACCATACTTAAAATAGTGTTAAGCTCAGAGGATGAATGTTTTTCGGTTAATAATAGCAAATAGAGTGACCTAACAACAGGGAGCTCAGATGCTGGAAACAATTGTCTGGGTGTTAGTCCCCGTTCTTCTTCATAATAACTATAAGAGCTTGTGGGTGAGGTGAAAACTTTCCTCCGCCCTCTTAGCTTCAATCCTAGAATCCCACAACTTACTAGAAATTCACAGAGGTAGTTAGAATTTGGGGTTATTAAGAAAAGGTAGTCTTTAATGCTCACAAAGGATATCCAGTAACAAGCACAGATTTTAAGAAAAACTTAAGGTAGAAACATGTAAATTGATTAAAATGACTTAGATACAGGCCACCCTTCCTCAGTTTGTATGGCATATTGATCAGGTAAAGCCTTGGCTTTCTAGAATTATATTCATAAAAACTAGACCAGGCCAATGTCATTCTTTCAAAACACAAACCACATTTTCTATATTTTGACTTCCCAGTAAGGTGTGTATTATGTTAGCTACTTCCACAGATAATTCATTATGCACAAAGTATTGCATTTATTATCTGTATCCTCATAACAGTTCTCTGAGGAAGGTACCAGTACCCCCTGTTTGATCATTGGAGACACCGGAGTGACTTACCAGAGCCCACGCAGCTCGGGAGCAGAGGGGCTGGGATTAAAGCCCAGATAGTCGGGTCCACTCCTTGCTCCTGCCCACTCCTTTAGCTGCCTCTCTCGTATCACTCAGTGATTGCCTGCTTGGCCAAATGCTGTTTTAGTAGGGCCCTTTACAAATGTTACTTCATTTGTTGCTCATTGTTCTCTAGGAGATGGTCATTTTATAGTTGAAGAAAATGAGGCTCAGAGACTAAGTCGTTTGTCCTGCCAGTAAGGGTAAAAATAGTTACTTAAGCCCTGGTCTTTCTGATGCCTCAGCTTTTTTTCCCCTCCCATTTGTGCTGTGCCGCCTCTCTCTCTTATATCTATAAACTGATTTTTGAATCTCGACCTAGTTGTTTTAGTTTATTTTTACCTTTTTTTAGGTTATTCTATATTTGTTGTTAAGGGTGATCTGCCAGATTGTGAAGCTGACCAACTCCTGCAGATGATCAGGGTCCAACAGATGCATCGACCAAAACTTATTGGAGAAGAATTAGCACAATTGAAAGAACAGAGGTAAAATTAAACCTGCACTATGGAATATATGAATTGTTTTCACGCTTGCGTCGAATGTGTGGTCCTTTTATTGTTGGGGACTGTTTTTAGACCTGTATATTTCAAGTCAAGCTTATTAGTTCAAACTAGAATTTACTCTTCGAATTTTTTAACTTTTAACTTGCTTTCACAGCGCAACATGATCGTTATATTATTAGACCTTATCTGCCAGAAAATGTAAAAATTCAGACTTACATAAAGTCTTTGGTTTATAAATACCTCTATGTTATACCTAAAATAAAAGATTGGTCTGCAGTTATTATAAGTGCCTTTGTTCTTCAGAGTCCAGAAAACAGATCTGGATCGAGTCTTAGAAGCAAATGATGGGTCAGTAATGTTAGACGAGGATGAGGAGGATTTGCAGAGGGCTCTGGCATTAAGTCGCCGAGAAATTGACATGGAAGATGAAGAAGCAGATCTCCGCAGGGCTATTCAGCTCAGTATGCAAGGTACAGACATTCTGACGTGTACTTTATGCATTGCTGAAGAGTTCAGATGACTTTGAGTTCTCCACAGGTCGATGGCGCGGTTAGACATACCTTGACGACTACTGCAGAAGCAGCAGCTGCACGCAGCCAGCTATTCTTTCAGTGCTGTTGTGATAGGAATAACACAGTCTGTTTAGAGTAGAACTAGTTCTATTTTATTTCTGATTATTCCATTTGGTTGTAATACTGTCCTGACACAATGGCGAGCTGAGGTCATTCTTTATGAGTAGACAGTTTACCCTTCCCCAGACCAGCGATAATGTGTGCGGCTGGGCTTGAAGCAAGACCGGAACAGACACTACGGAGAGATTTTAAATAATCCAGCACTTGGTGTTGCACTCATTACAGCTGTAGCCCACTTCGGTGGACCCACAGTTTTTAGTAATTTAAGCCCATCAGCAGAGGAGGGTGACTGAACTCCCCCTAGGAAATCCAGGCAGAGGTTGATGTCTGGGATGTAGCTCAGAGTGGCTTACTTAAAACCGTGTCATTTTTCAGTAGTTTTATTTTTCTCTAAGGTGAATTTGCCTTCTTGGTAATGAAGTTACTCATCAGTTCAGTTTCTTAAATATCTAAATACAGCTGAGGTTTCATATTAATATGGAGATATCCTTTTTATGCTCTGTTCTAGCCTGTGGCTTCGCATACCTATTGGCATACCTGAGAATTCCATATGACGTTCAATCTTATTTTTGGCAGGTAGATTTTGACTAGTAAAACTCTGCAGGATTAGCCCAGTAATGAACAGATAGCAGCTTTTATAATTTATATTTTTGTGTATTTCACTCTTCCCACTATACTTCAGAATTTATGCAGAATATGTTTGGTACAATTAGTAAAGAACCTGGAAACATTCATAAGTTGTTATAGTACACAAATTTTCAAGAATAGAGGAATACAGAGAATGGGTTGTTTTGTAATATCCACTTTAAATTGTATCTAGAGTTCTGTACCTTTGGAAGTATAGACTCATTAACTTGGTTCTTCTTGGTTCTTCACATCCACTACATAACACATGGGTAACAACTTTGGTTGTAGTAGACACAGGTTATATTCGAAATTCTTTATTCAGATATTCCCTAAAAATTTAAGAGCTTTCCTTATATTTAAAGAATGGCAGCAGAATATTTGTTTTTTTAAAGATTTATTTATTTATTTATTTATACAAGCACTGGGTACGGTCAGAAGTGCAGGAGAGTAAGAGAATTCACCAGAGCCAGAGCAGGGAACAGAACAGGCAGACTGACGAAATACACTGCTGAGGAGAGCAGCGGGCATGGCAGGAAAGGTCTGCACGCCATGTGGGACCCTCACCGGGGGCCGGGGTTTGAACCGGCGCTGCAGAGGCTGCGGGCAGCTTCGCAGCCCAGTGCTTAACCACTGTGCCACCAGGGGAGGCCCAGCAGAATATTTTTAAAAAGAAAACTTTTTTTTAATTATTGTGGTAACATTGGTTTACTTTGTATGATTTAGGAGACTAGGTTTACAGCCCCACAGGTGTATATGGCCACACCATAACCACCACCATACACCACTGGACTCCCTCCTCTCTCTGGCTCTACCCCTCCTGTCAGTTGCCTCAGTTGTGCAGTGAGATTATTAGGGTTTGCTTTGGTTTCGTTTTGCTAGTTCCTAGGTTTCATTTCTCTATTTCACATGAGTGAAATCATGTGGTATTTGTCTTTCATTTTCTGACTTACTGAACTAACCATAATCCCCTCCAGTTCCATCCATGTTGTCATAAATGGTAAGATTTCATCTTTTTTATACCTGAATAGTACTCCACCCTGTGTATGTACTACATCTGGATCCTTTCATCTGTCTTTGGACACTTAGGTTGGTCCCATAATTTGGTTATTGTAAATATGCTGCTCTGAACATAGGGTGCATGTGTCCCTTTGAATTAGTGTTTTTCCATTCTTTGGATAGATACCAAGGACTGGAATTGCCAGAGCGTATGGTATATCTATTTTTAATATTTTATGGAACTTCTCTATTGTTTTCCATAGGGGTCTGATCAATCTACATTTCTATAAACAATATACAAAGTTTCCTTTATTTTTCCATACTCTGACCCACATTTACTGTTACTGTTTTGATTTTGTCCATTTTGGGTTTTTGTTTTTGTTTTTTTGATACGGGCCATTCTCACAAATGTGAGGTGGTGTCTCATTGTGGTTTTGAATTGCATTTCCCTAATAATAAGTGATGTTGAATATTTTTCTCATATGCCTATTAGCTATCTATAGGTCTTCTTTGGAGAAGTACCTATTTAGCTAGTCTACCCACATTTTGATTGGTTTCTTTGTAATTTGTTCAGTTGTATGAGTTCTTTGTAGATCTTGGATATTAGCACTTTGCCAGATGTATAATGTACAAAAATTTTCTCCCATTTGGTAGGTTATCTTTTCATTTTACTGATCATTCTTTTACTGTGCAGTAACTTCTTAGTTTGACATAGTCCCATTTATTTTCCTTGCTGTTGGGGTTGAATCCCCAGAGATGTCACTGAAACCATGTTGTAGAATGTTTAGCTTATGTTTTCTTCTGTGTATTTTATGGGTATTGGCTTTATATTCAACACTAATCTACTTCAAGTTAGTGTGTGTGTGTGTGTGTGTGTGTGTGTGTGTGTGTGTGTGTGTGTGTGAGTGACAGAGAGAAAGAGAGAGAGAGAGAAGTATAGTTTCATTTTTCTGCAAGTGACTCTCCAGTTTTCACAATGCCTTTTGTCAGAAGCTTTCCATTCTCCACTGCATACCTCTTGATTCCTTTGTTATAGATTAGCTGTCAGATATCAATGTGGGTTTATTTCTGGGATCTCAGCTCTATTCCATTGGTTTTTCTATATGTTTTTATTCTAATACAATGCTGTTTTGATTACTATAACCTTGTAGTATAGTTTGAAATCTAGAAGTATGATCCCTCCATTTCTCTTCTTTTTTTGTCAACATTGCTGTGGCTATTTGGCACCTTTTGTAGTTCCACACAAATTTCATAACGATTGTCCTGCTTCTTTAAGAACTTCATTGAAATTTTGTTAGGGATTGTACTGAATCTGTGTAGTGCTTTGGGGTAAAATGGAGAAGAGAACTTTTTAAAAACCTGCTTTTAGCTGTAAACATATTGTTACATATGTTTGTAAATAAACTGATTGTATTTTGTTCTGTTTTCAGGTAGTTCCAGAAATACATCTCAAGATACTCCACAGACAGCAGGTACACATCTTAGTTCAGAAGAGCTACGGAAGAGAAGAGAAGCCTACTTTGAAAAGTAAAGTAGTTGGTACAATATTAAATTTGCATATGTAATGTTTACTTTGGTGTTTTGTCTATTTGTAAACAGATTTCTTTGACTTAAAGTATTTATTTAGGATGCTTTTACTGCTTGAACCCTGTGAACATTGGAATAGTATTTGTTTGTTTGTTTGTTTGTTTGTTTTTGTTTGTTTGTTTTAACAAATAGCATAAAGGAATGCTTTTAAAATTTCAATTCCCTGGGCCTCCCCGGTGGCGGTGGCGCAGCGGTTGAGCGCTGGGTTGCGAAGCTGCCCGCGACCTCTGCGGTGCCGGTTCGATCCCCGGCTGCTCCCCGGCCACCAGAGGAGGGTCCCACATGGTGCGCAGACCAGAGGAGGGTCCCACATGGTGCGCAGACCTCTCCTGCTGCCCGCTGCTCCCCTCAGCAGTGTACTTCGGTCCTTCTGCCTGCTCTGCTCCCCTCTCTGGCTCTGGTGAATTCTCTCACCCTCCTGCGCTTCTGACTGTACCCAGTGCATGTATAAACAAAGCAAACAAACAAACAAAGAAATAAATAAATAAAACATGCCTCTATAGGGCCTCCCCGGTGGCGCAGTGGTTGAGCGCTGGGTTGCGAAGCTGCCCGCAGCCTCTGCAGCTCCGGTTCGATCCCCGGCTGCTCCCCGGCCACCGGAGGAGGGTCCCACATGGCGGCAGACTTCTCCTGCCGCCCGCTGCTCCCCTCAGCAGTGTACTTCGGTCCTTCTGCCTGCTCTGCTCCCCGCTCTGGCTCTGGTGAATTCTCTCACCCTCCCGCGCTTCTGACTGTACCCAGTGCATGTATAAACAAAACAAACAAACAAACAAATAAATAAATAAAATAAAACATGCCTCTATTGAAAAAAAAAAAATTTTTAAAAAAAAACAAAAAACATGCCTCTATAAAAAAATAAATAAATAAAAATTTAAAAAAATAAATAAATAAAAGTAAGAAAGGGCACCAAAAAAATTAAAAAAAAAAAAAAATTTCAATTCCCAAAAGCATAAAGGAGTTAGGTCAAGTCAAGAACCAGTGCCTAATGGTCCTCTGAATGTGCTTCTTGGTTACCTGACTAACCTCTTCTGTCAGCAGGGATAAAAGCATTTTTGGTGGGGGTGCATGCTTCCAAATAGAGGTGATGGTAATTGCTTTGTTCATTGTCACTTGGAGACAAGTGAGGGCATGGCAGGACTGTGGGCATCAGGGACATTGGGTAAAACATAAATCTGAAACATCGGGTCCTAAGACCTAACTGTGTGTGCCTGGCTTTGTAAGTGCTCTCAGTAGAAATTTTACCCTGTAAAAGTATCATCCTTTCCAGTGACTATCAGTCAAACTCCATCTTTTTTTTTTTTTTAAAGATTTATTTATTTATACAAGACCCAGGGTACAGGCCAGATCCGCAGGAGGGTGAGAGGATTCACCAGAGACAGAGTGGGAAACAGAACAGGCAGACTGACGAAACACACTGCTGAGGGGAGCAGCGGGCGAGACAGGAGAGGTCTGCCTTGCCATGTGGGATCCTCGCCAGCTGGCCAGGACTGAACCCACGCTGCAGAGGCTGCGGACAGCTTCACAGCGCTGCGCTCAACTGCCTGCATCACCAGGGGAGGCCCTCAAACTCCATCTTAAAGATTATATTCAGGGGTCTCCCTGGTGGCACAAAGGGTTAAGACACAACTTATAAAGCTAACGGCAGCCACTGCAGCAGGAGTTCGATCCCTGGCCAGGAAAAAACCCTCATGGCACAGCAGACCTCTCCTGACTTGCCTGCTGCTCCCCTCAGCAGTGTGTTTCAGTCAGTCTGCCCGTTCTATGCCCCACTCTGTCTCTGGTGAATCCTCTCACCACCCCCGCCCCCCTGCACCTCTGGCCCTTACCCCTTTCTTGTAGGTCAGAAAAAGAAGACCAGTGGTTGAACCTGGCCTGTTAATTACTATTGTTTATTATTTCATCAGTTTTGAGGTGCACATATTTCACATTTCAAAACCTCTGAACTTGAGAAGCATCTGACAATCATAATTGACAATATTGATATCTAAAATATTGGCGCAGTTTACATTTGATGGTGTAATGAAGATAATATTTACCTTGTTTTCTGTTTTTTTTTTTTTTAAGTCACAACTCAGAAGTATGTGATGGAAAGTTCTGATCAACTGACATCCTCTTAATGTGAGATATTCCTAGTCTTTATTCAGTGATAGATTAATAGATTTAATTATACATAAAATTTCAAAATAGTGCTTGTTAGTGCTTTTCACTTCCATTTAAATTTTAAAATTTAATTTTTTTAATTACAATAAATTTCAAATTTATGTAAAAGTAGAGAAACCAGTGTAATGAAGGCCTATGTATCCGTTGCCCAGATTTAACAATTATCAGCATGTGGTTAGAGTTGTTTTTTATGCCCGCATTGCCATGCTTTTCTACTCTCCCTTCCCCAGTAATAACAGGTCTAAATCATCATATCTTTTATTTGTAATAATTGCAATACGTGCCTCTAAAATATGCAGGATTATTTTTTATATATAGCCAAATTATAATGTCATACAATGCAGGTAATAATTACTGCATGGTAATTTTTAATGGTAATTCTGTATTACCAGTTACTTAGTGTTTATAAACTAAAAACTTAATATTCTAGAAATTTTAAGAAATATCAAAATTTAAAGAAAACCTAAATTTCCATGTTCTTATAACTAATGTCAGTGTTTGTCATATTCTCGACTAATCGCAGTTATAAATACCCTTTTCCCATGATAGTGAATACTCTGTGTAGCAGGCTGCATGATACCTAAAAAAGTGAATGTATGATCATAACTTCCATATGAACCTTTTGATTTTTGCTATTGTGAATGAATAATGCAGCAAACTATCCTTGTACTGGTTTTGTGCTTCAGATCATTCATCATTCCTTTTAATGATTCTGAAGATGTCAGATTATTGGGTTAAAGGACTTGAGCATTTTTAAGACCTTAGTACAGATTTCTAAACTGCTTTCCAGAACAGTTCCCAAGTGGTATTTATACCCTGTTTTTTCCGTCTTTGTTGCCAGAATAAAATGTTCAAACACACATGCTTTATCGAGAAATTACAAAATTCATAAGTACACTTAAGAAAAGGAAAACATTTAAAGTATAAAAGCAAATCCCTTTTCTATTGAAAAATACATTTTATAATTCTGGTGGATTAAAAATGTGGAAATTCCAGTGGATTGAGAGAATGGCTAATGCAATAACCTCCCCTAACTACTAAGTAACTTATAATATACCCAGTACCAACAATAATTAATGAGATTTCAGGCAACCTTGTACCTTTTAAAAATACGTGAGCATTGGTATGACTCCTTCCTGATTGAAAGTAGTTGACTGGGGAGGAAGGTATATGGTGGTGGTTTTCAGCTGCAGCTTTTCATCCTCTGTCTCCTGGTTTGACCTTGAAAACATTGGTAGAAACTTGAGAATTATAGAGAATATTTTAGACTAACTAAATGTTGTTGAGAAGCCAGACTTCTTGGTATTTCTTTTTAATGTTGATTAGCATTGGTACTTGTAGGACTCAGAGTAAAGAGAAACTAATACTTATCTTTTACTAAAATTCCTGATTACGGTGCCTGAATATGTCCTTGTCTCTCTGGTTTCCATCTTTGGGAATTTGGCTCTACGGTTATCAAGCTAACTCTTCCTAATGCGTTCTCTTAACTGACCTCCCGTGCTAATTTGTTTTTCATTCACATTTTTAGTTTTTTCCCCATGTATTTTAAGCCTCATACTTAATGTAATAACCACAGTATGGATGCATCAAGTATACATAATAGAATTTTCTAGTGTAAAAAATACTGTTAAAAATCTATCTATTGGAGGGCCTCCCTGATGGTGCAGGGGTTAAAGTCAGCGCTGTCACGCTATCCACAGCCACTGCAGCGTGAGTTTGATCCCTGACCAGGGAGTTGACCCACATGGCGCAGCACACCTTTCCTGTCTCGCCCGCTGCTACCCTCAGCAGTGTATTTCAGTAGATCTGTCTATTCTGCTCCCCACTCTGTCACTGGTGAATCCTATTACTCCCTGCAGCACTGGCCTGCAGTCCAGTTCTTAGATGTATCAATAAAAAAATAAATCTTAAAAAAAATCTGTTGGAAATTGTTTACAATTGTTAAATGGTAGTGGAGTCATATTTCTCCAGTAGTTACCTGTAAATCAGCTTATCTCTCATAAAACCCCAAGCAGAACCTTTATCCACACTGTTACTATAAAGCCTGCTTACCTCCCATGGTAGGACCAATGAAAGTGTGTATAACTATTGTGTGACTGTAAGCTAGTCCACAGATACATGTTAGCAGTGTTCTTGTTTTCTCCAGGTGTAGCTTTAAAATGATGCAAAATCTTTCTGTCTTCTCTAAAGTGTATTTCCCAACAAGGAGGGAAACAGATGCTGTTTTCATGTTCATAGATTGATTTTTTTTTTTGTGATTGATACTTAAACCACTGCTTCAGTAGAATAGCATAGTTTATCAGGGTTCTGTTTAAGAAACAGTAAGAATTTTAGGCAGAGTTATAGGTGCATATTTTAGGCCAGCCCTCCAGGATAGCACAGATCAACTTGGTGCCCACTACCCCAGCTGGGATGATGGGGAACCTGGATATTGAGTTTAAGGATAACCTGATACAGCTTTGCTCCTAGGATCAGGAGGCTGCCACCGCAATTGCCTAGACATGGGGTCGTGAAGTCTGGCCCCCTCTATGGAAGCAGAATTCTGGGACTAGGACTTTCCTAGCTAGCAGAGAGGAGCCAAAGAAGCAGGAAGATGCCAGCCTCTCTCATTCAAGTGCTTCCTTGGTCACCAGAACCCTAGTTGGACTGCAGTCTAAGACACATGGTTTTTAGTTTTCTCGCCTGTCTAATGCTGAAGGCGCACTAGGAAGCAGTGAGAATGGGTGCTGCGTCCTGCTTGAACAGCTTCATACTACAGTGGTGTCACATACGAAAGGTGTCAAAATTGCTTCAAGATTGGCAGTTGATTTACTTCTTGTAGCAGATTTCCCCTCTGGAGTTGCTGTCTCGCCTACCACTCCTGTGTCTGAAGACATGCTTTCTTGAGTGGAGGGGGAGAGGGCGAGGAGCCAGAGCCATCTGATGTGCCCGGAGTTCCTCGTAACTCACAACCTGGCTTTCTCAAGCCGCATTCCAGAATTAGGGTGTGCACGCCCCACTCATAGACCTATGCAAATGTTAGTATGCTGGCTCAGCGGCCAGGAGGGAGAGGTTGCAATTACCATGGGTTGAATTTTCTTTGTTATTCATATTAAAACCTAAGACTAAGAGGAAACCTTGGAAGCATATGTGCTATTATTCTGTTGATAGTGTTACTGCTAATTTAAGAATTCTTGTTCCTTTAAAAATCCTTATATGGGGCCTCCCCGGTGGCGCAGTGGTTGAGCGCTGGGTTGCAAAGCTGTCCGCCGCCTCTGCGGCGCCGGTTCGATCCCCGGCTGCTCCCTGGCCACTGGAGGAGGGTCCCACATGGCGCGCAGACCTCTCCTGCCGCCCGCTGCTCCCCTCAGCAGTGTACTTCGGTCCTTCTGCCTGTTCTGCTCCCCGCTCTGGCTCTGGTGAATTCTCTCACCCTCCCGCGCTTCTGACTGTACCCAGTGCATGTATAAACAAAACAAACAAACAAACAAATAAATAAATAAATAAAAACATGCCTCTATTACAAAAAAAAAAAAATCCTTATATGCATTTTTTTAAAACGATGGCTTCTCACTCAGATGGTCACGGTTCTGTTTTTTTTATTTTCAGCATGTATGTATGTGTATATATAGATATATATGTATATATGAAATGATTATAGATTAAATAATAGCAGAAAGTTCATAGAGCTCCTGTGCCCTTGACTCAGATTCCCCAATTGTAGACATTTCTGAATCATTTGAGAATAATTTGCAGATACGATTTCCCATTACATCTTAATACTTTAATGGATATGTTCTAAGTACAAGGACACTCTCTTACATATTTGTCATAATCATGTTTTATTTTTAAATATGTATTTTTATGATACTGTCTCTTTTGAAATAAATACAAGGAGAACTTATTTTAATATAATAGCTATTACTGACGCTTTGCATATAATAGCTATTACTGACGCTTTGCAATGTGTGTTAAGTAGTTCTAGTTTTTTTCATTCATCAAGTATTTTGTCAGTGTCTACTATGAGAGAGGCCCAGTTTTAGTCACTGGGGAAAAAGGATAAGGTTTGCATTCTTATTAATTTACACTCTAAGGATGGAAACACAGGGAAAATTCAGATGGTAACAGTGTACACAGCAAATTAAAATGAAGGGACAGTGAGACCGCAGGTGACTAGGTAGCAGGTCAGGTTAGGCCTCTCTCTGGAGATCGGTGCACTCACATCTGAGCGACCAGAGGGAACTAGCCAGGGAAAGAGCTTGATAATTCTTTGGTGATTTGAGATGCTTTGTCTTCTCAAAGGTACTTATTTTCACTGATTTCCAACAATATTAAGGATCTGTAAACCAACAAATTTTACATAAACATAGCTGCCAGTGGATCCTTTGGTACAGTGGGTTATTTTGTGGTATCTGACAAAAAATTATATATGTAGGTTTTCTGGGACCAACACTGTGATACTTTTAGGGTGTGTGTGTGAGAGAGACACTGATTGCTGTTTTTTTTTTTGTGGTGTTCGTGCTGGTGACTCTTGTTTCATGGAACCACTTATTTACCGTGTGCATAGTTTTTCTCGTGGCATACTTATTCTTGGGTTTTTTGTTTTTTTTTTAATGTACATTCACTTTTTAATATTTCAGGCAGCAGCAGCAGCAACAACAACAGGATCTACCAGGTCAGCTTTCACATCCTTGTGAAAGGCCAACCACAAGTTCAGGAGCACTTGGCAGTGAACTCGGTACGCTTCTCTGACCATACATCACATTCATGACCTCTGTGTTCTGTTTGACACACAGGCACCATGTGATTTTTTTACTATATAGGGTTTTTCCCTCCTGTTTAATTGTACTGAAACTCTTGAATCAATTTGTGTTCTAATTTCTCTGAGTAAAGAGCAGGCAGAATAAATCACTGACGAATGTTTCATTTTAAAATTATAAAATAATAAATGCAATACCATGGTAGTAACAAGACATCCCCTACCCCCCAGAACAGAGTTATCAGTAGAGGACAGTGGGTAGCCAGGACAGTGATCTCATACACCGTCCCTTTGTCTGGCAGCAGCCAGGCCTCATCCCTTTAGCCCCTCCACTGCTGTGTCATCAGCCTGCTAAAAGAGAAGATTCAGCTAAGGTTCAAAGTCTTGTAACATAATTCCCAAAATGTTCAGGATTCAATCGAAAAACACATGATAACACAAGACAGGAAAGTTTCAACTTGAATGACAAAAGACAGTCAATAGACACCATTACTGAGATGACACAGATACTAGAATTATCTGACCAGGAGTTTTAAAATAGCCTTCTTAAAAAGTCTATAATGAACAATTATGAACACAATTGAAACAAAGGGAGAAACAGAAAACCTTAGGAAAGAAGAATCTATAAAGAACTAAGTAGAAGTTTTAAAACTGAAAAAGAACAACTGAAATTTTAAAATTCAGTGAATGGACCCAACAGGTAAATGAAAGGACAGAGGAAAGAATCAGTGAACTTGAAGATAGAGTAATAGAACTTAGTCATTCTAAGCAACAGAATTAGAAGACAAAATGAACAGGCGCTTAGAGAGCTATGGGACCATAATAAAAGATGTAACATTTGTGCCAGGGGAGCTCCAGGAGATGAGAAAGAGGCTGGAGGCAATAGACACCTACAGATTTAAGAAAGCTGAGTGAATCTCATGGAGGACAAATCCAAAGAAATCCATGCCAAAACATATCATAGTCTAACTTTTGAAAATTGAAGACAAAATTCAGAAAATTTTGAAACCAATTAAGAAACACCGTACTGACCAAGCCTTACTCTAGCCCAAGTGACCTCCAGCCTCATTCTTCTGAAAATAAACCCCTGACTGCTCCTGGTGCCCCAGGACTGTGCCATGTGTGCCCAGGGCTGCGTCTGCAAAGGGGCACAAGACAGGTACAGCTGCTCTGCCTGAAGTCAGCAACACTCAGCTCCCGGATGTAAACAGCCACGTGTACAAACCTGCATTATTTCACGTCACATCTTACCCTGTTTTCTTTGATCCTTTTCCTATGAAATAAGTAAATGATAATAAAAGTCATTGACATTTTAAAAAGAAAAGAGAGAGAAACCCCCATAGCAGTTTTTATGATAACAGATTTTTTATCTGAAATCCGGGAGGCGAGAAAGTAGTAGTACGTTGCAACGGCTCAAAAAGAACTCAACCCAGAATTCTATATTCGATGAATATTTCTTCTAGGAGTGAAAGGGAAAATTAATTCACCAACAGACATACCCTAAAGATTACTAAAGGAAGTTCTCTAAACAGAAATGATAAAAGAAATCTTGGAAATTCAGGAAGAAAAAAAACAACAGTGAAAATATGGGTTAACACAATAGTCTTTCCTCTCTGAGTTTTCTTAGAGTTACTAATTGAAGCAAGAGTTATAACATGGATTTGACTTTTAGGATACATACATACATACATATTTATATAAATAAAAGATTTTCAAGCCAATTATATTGTAAATGGGGGAGAGAAAAGAACTAAGATTTCTGCCCTTCATTTTAATTGGTACAGCCACTCTGGTAAATAATTTGGCAGTTTCTTTAAAAACTGAATGTCCACTGAGCATACAACCCAGCATTTATCCCAGAGAAGTGAAGACATTGTCAGTGCAAAAACCTGTGCCCTAATGTTCATAGCAGCTTTATTTGTTATAATTAAAAACTGGAAACAACCACAATATCCTGCAGAAGGTGGATAAACTGTAACGTGTGCATACCATAGATGACTACTAGGGATTCAGAAAGAGCCAATTGTTGATACATGAGTGAATCCTCAGGAGTCTCAAAAGGTTTCGGTGTGAATCTTTGTGTAACATTTTAAAAAGGACAAATTTATAGTGATGGAGAACACATGAGTGATTGCCTACAGCTAGGAAAAGTGGGAGAAGAGAAGTTGGTGTGACTGTAAAGGGATAACAGGAGGGCGATCGCGAGTATTCACAGCTCCCTGTCTTTGTTGTGCTGGTGGTGGTTCAACAAATCTATACATGCATGTAACCTATCTCAGTGGTATGTGATGTCGCTTCCCAGGCTTTCTTTGAGTTCTCGTTGTGTCTGAAGTGTACAGTAGGACCTCTCTGAACTATCTTTACAACTTTGTGTGAATGATTATTTCAAAACAGTCTATTTAAGGAACAAATGGTTGATATATACAAGAAAGGGAAATTGTCATTCACTTAATAATGTGTTTTGAAATGCCAAATAAATTCATCATGTTAAGGGAAAGACGCCATGTTCAGGAGGCTACGTACATGTTGTATGATTCCATTTATGTTAGCATGCAGGAAAAGGCAAAACCATAGGGCAGAAAACACGCCAGTGGTTGCCTCGGATTCCAGTTTGGGGACTGACCACCAAGGCGCAGTAATGGGTAATGAAATGGTCTGTATCTGACCAGTGGTGTCTGTATAGCTCTGCATTTGTCAAAGCTTCCATAAGCACACACTCTTACAGAAAAGTGAATTTTACTGTATGTAAAATTCAAAAAAGGAAACTCTTATTAGTCAGATAGAAATACATTTTCTAGGAGCTTACTTTTGCTGACTTGGAAAAATTTCCAGAAATTCTAAGAATTATGTCTTTTCTTTCCCAACAGGTGATACGATGAGTGAAGAAGACATGCTTCAGGCAGCTGTGACCATGTCTTTAGAAACTGTTAGAAACAATTTCAAAACAGATGGAAAAAAATAATACCCTTTATAAATCATTTAGATATTCATACTTTTCAACATTATCCTGTGTGATTGCAGCATACGGTCCATTTTGGTAATGTGTCAAAGAGAACACAGTTCAACAGAGGAAATAAGGCCTTTAGGTGGTTTGCAAACAAAAATATGAGAGTGGAAAACTGCGTCAGTTGTAGGACTGAAAAGTGCTCCTCCAAATCCTAGCCAAAGAGGCATCCAGCAATTAAAGAAATTTAAAATAGTTTTCTAAATGTTCCTTTTTCTTTGTGCAATATCTAACATGTCTAACATTTGGTCATTTTCCTTGGATCTTTTTGCAGACCAACTAATTCATTCTTGCCACGAAACTGTTCTTTTCCTCCCGTGTGGGTGATTTGCCTCACTTTCATTATCCAGTAGTTTTTTATTTCTCGTTAACCAAATTAACTTTTTAGGACAGTGTCTCTTGCCTTTGTTGATAATAGTAACGGTTCCAGAAGGAGGATAAATTGTTCTCCCTCCCAGCTACGATTGCGACCTTGGGGTTTTCTCTTGTTATATTCTCTGATCACAGTTTCTCTGCTATTAGTTTTTCTTGTTATTTTTCTACTACTCTTTTGAAGCTGATAATCTTCCTTGGGGTTTTGCTTTTTAAACTCTCTACTATGGGATCATTATTTCATGATTCTGGTTCATTCCTAAACTCTGAAATCAGCTCCGCACAAGTATTTGAGAATAAATGAGCATTTCTTTTTAACGTGTGAGCATTGTCCTTTCCCAGGTATTTTGTGAATATCTTATCAATTATGTCAGAACTTTCCAGCTTTGTTGTAACCCTCCTTGCTGCACCTTGCTATTTCCTTTCGTCTCTGGTTGAGAAGAGTAGGAGAAGCATGGTATGCAAGCAGACGTCCTTCTGTTACAAGACTGAACATGTAATACCCATCACGAATGTGTGATGGATGAAATTTGGCCTTCATTTTAGTAGTATTTCACTTTAATTTTTTTCTCTTGTGACTGATCTGTTCTGTTTACAGTTGAGGCATGGAGCGTAGGTGTCTGCTTCTGCTGCGTATCTTCACTGTAGTACAACTTGCCAGAGATGATGTTCTAGAATATGAAAATAAGTTACTAATGAAAATATATTTAAATTTATATTGTGGTTTGACACTTGTATCATGGTTAAATAGCATAAGAGTTACAGATGTCACACAGTACTTAATGGGTCTGTAAATAAGAAAGGCTTTAGTTTTGATAAACATTCTTTAATTGGGATGCACAGAGGGTTTCTTACTGGGTCAGTGGAGTGAAATGATTTGGTGAATATTAACCACATCTCTCTGAAATGGGTGTTTTAGATTCTGTCATCTACTCCCCATCCCACATTCTCCATCCCCTTTAGAAGCCCTTTTGAATGTTGAATTTCTCATAAATTAAAATTTAAGAAGAAATTTCAGCCAACAACTTAGAAAATTAAAGTATAGTATGTTGCCAAGCTGGCTGCACACATTTTATCAGGGAACTTTTTTGACTCTAGGATTTAGGATTTATTGCTAACTGAAAAATAGTGATAAATGTTTTTTTTATTTGTGATTATGAAGTAGATTTTTCTTGAATAGAAACATATTTTAGTCATTTTGTGCCAAATTTTTCTGGTTTCTCTTACATCAAACTAGACAGCTTTATTTTAAAATCTGAAGTTTTCTTTTGACAATTGAAAATGTTTGAGAAGACTTACACAACTTTAGAACCCCAAGGCATATTGGAGTTTAGTACTACTCCCTCAAGATTTACATACCAAAATAGTAACACGGACATTTCCGTAGTTATCCCCAGTATGCTAGTCATATTTTCCACAGATATTTGGCCTTTGCCTTTTCCCATTGAAAAATTACATTAAATTTTCATACATTTGAATTGATGAGCTAACTAATATCAAAATGAGAAAACAAATATGCACTTGAAAGATTGAAGCTTAGATTGTATAAAGTTCTTACATTACGCACGCTGTTAAAGCACTTAAGGAAGTATGGCCTGTTGACCTGTATATGTTAGCAATTTTTTTTAAGCAGAGCTGAGCACACACTGGATATCTTTGAATGTGTTTATTTAGTTTATTGTGAAATTGTTATATATGGCAGGCAGATCCATCATCACTAGTTAACTGCCATCTTGTTTGGATTGGCAAAACTTAATTGACCGTTTAGACTCCATTTCTTAATTGATTGGCCAGTGTGAAAAGATGCCAATACTCATAACCACAGTATCAGAAAATTTAAAAGTTATTGAAACTTGTTCACACATTAGGAACTGCTATTTGTTGTAAGCCATCTGCCAGAAAGTTAGGAACAAGAAATTCATAACTGTCCTGCTAAGAACTTTATTTATGTAAAGATTTCCATTCTTTTTAAACGAATTGGGAACGCCTTAATGTTTAATAATTAAACAATTATCGATATCATTTTTCTAATATATAATTTGTATGAACAGGATAAAGTCCAAACAGCGGCAAGTGGCATTGCTAGTGTTACAAGTACGGTTTAAACAAGCTTTATGAATACCACTTCCATATTTTCAGGTGTTACGAACTTATTAATAAGTACTGTAGTTATTTATGTTTTAAATTCAGAGTAGTTAACCTCTGATCTGAAATCACCACTACACTTTTCTGTATAGTAATTAACATTTAAATATTTCAGTAATATTCATTGGTTGAAAACTATTTCATCTCTAAGATTTTGGCCAAAAAATTTACGATTTACAGAATATTTAAGGAGGTGCTTTTTATCTTTAAATATTTATTCTTCTTAAGATTTTATTCATGCCAAAGTTAATAAGGAAAAAAGCCCAATACTAGTTAAGGATGATTAGAGGCAAAACCTTTACCAATTGTCTACACATTGTTTCATTTAACGTTAAGTTGAATAAAATAAATTTTATTCCAGTCAAAATCTAAGTCACATGTGTGCATGTTTGATACTATCGGGTTTTCAGAAAAGTTGTGACATATTTTTTCTAAGTTTTTCAAGCAAAAATGCGTCATGACTTTTCTGATAACCCAATATTTTTTAAATGTTAGTGCCCAGATTGACTGACTGATAACTGGTCCTTGGACCTAAGCAAGTTCAAAAAAGACTGATTCAGTGCATAAGCAGACTATAATGATAATGGAAATATCTTTAAAATATTGGTGTTTTTAATTCTTTTAAAAGGTCAGCAATTTTGATGACTTTCTTATTAAAAGCTTTGTAATTGAAGAGGTCTCCGGCTACTGCCATATGGAGATGCTATACATGTGATCTTAGGAAAAGCCAAGTATGATCAACTAACCCTTTCAGCAGTGTAAATATTTTTTCATATTTTCAAAACAAAAACTTTCTTTCATTCCTGGTTCCTTCATAACCAGCATCTTTTGCTTAAAAAATTAACTGGCTTTTATTTTTTTAAGTCTTACAACAAAAACATTTTGTTCTATTCTGCTTTCATCAGTGAGAAGATTATTGGCATGGTTAATTCTTGAAATTTGATTTATTCTTAATTTGAAGACAACCTTAGCTTTTTTTTTTCAAAGAAAACCTTAGCTTTTTTTTTCAAAATGGTTGGCATTTTCAGAATTAATGCTTGTGACATCACTTCTAAATTAACAGCATTTGGTATTTTAATGACTCAAATTTTAAGACTCCATAGGCAAGGAGTGGGACGCATTAGTAAAATATTGGTGGAAATTCCTTATTCATTTAGGAAGCATTTCAGTGGTTTCTTGCACAGTTCAGAGAAAAATGTTTCCAGGAATTTTTTTATTGCCTTTTTTTTTTGGGAAAGAGGAAGACATTTGAAAGTGATTATCTAATTTCTACAACACTGGACTATGATTAACCATTAAAACATTGCTGTTCTGTATGAGTAAACTATTTGGAATTAAAGGACAAAAAAAGTGGCATAAAAAGCGTTGTATTTTGGCCATGAACATGTGCACTGTTGCAGTGCGATTTGCTCAGGACCCAACCTACAGCCGTGCTGTGTGTGCTTCTCCCAGAGTTCTTTGCCGTTATCACACACACACACAGGCCTCCCTGTCTGGTCCTTCGTAAAGCCGGGCTTCCAAAGCACTGTTGAACACTGAGGATTCTATTGTGAATGTGGATGTTCGATAAGTTGTATTTTAAATATCAAAGATTATTAAATAAAATGTTTGCTTTTTTATTTCTGACTCTTTGTGGTTATTGTAAATTCATAGCCCTATTACTCAAAGTATGGTTGGAGGCATAGTATAGGATTGCCACCACTTGAGTTTTCCAGAAATGCCTATTGAATCAAAATCCCTTTTTAAAATGTGCCCTCTGAAGATAGGCAGGGGAGTCCACCAGTGCTGTGTTCCAGCTAAGTGCTGCCAAAGGGCCCATTGCTGCTGGAGCCCCTCATCTTTTCTAAGATAAGTTAAGAATTCCACATTTTTACTTAAAGTCTGGTTTTTTAAATGTTGGCTCAATTGTTTTTTAACCGAGAACCAAATGAAGCACGATAGTAGCAAATTTTTGAGGAGAGTTTTTCCCTCAATACCAGAGTCCAACTCGCCACTTAGGCATTGTCTTCCTGCTAACTATGCATCTCTTCATCACGACCAGCAGACAACTGTAGTTCCATTTTGAAAGTTTAGCATTATATTTTGGTTGGTAATCCACATTATCAACTGTAGTGGTTAATAATCTGTATCTCCCATGTATAACCCTTTTGTCTTGAAGTCACTTCTAGTCTAGGGCATCATATACATATAAGCATGTGCAGTGACAGTTGTTCACTCGGTCTTCAGCCTATTTATTTTTATGTAGCTGATTTATAACATTGTACATGTTTCTGGTGTACAGACTACTCTGTACAACTACATCAAACTTGTCACTAAAAGTTCCTGTCCATCACTACACAATTGACCCCTATACCTACTCTCTGTTTTCAGTCCAGACGTCCCAAAGCTGGAAGCCCATTCACT